CTCGTACATCAACCATAGCTATTAGAACAAATATCTGCTTCCCCTGTCACTCACAAAAGCACATTTGGGACAAAGTTTACATCTAAATTGTTCTGTATATGACTCAGAAAGAGACTTAAAAATACAAGAAACAACCAATTAAATTGAGTGATTTGATTTTGCACTAAATCCTGTGATTAGCTATTTAAGTCATAATTTCAAGGGAGTTATTAAGAAAATGGAGACATAATTTAATTTTAATTTATTAAGTGTGACATTTGGAATTAAAATGGTAGCCAAAATATTTTCAAAAAACAGTCTATTTAAGATATGTCATTGAAATCTCTTTCATTTTAGAAATTAATGAAATCTCTTACATATGTAGAAATTGACTATGTGACAATACTGAGTAAGAAATAAAGTTCACAGAACCCCAGTTCTTATGTTAGTCTAATTTAAGAATCTTGTTTTGAGAATTTAAAATAAAAAATACTATCCAGCATTCTGTTAATTAGCATTTCTATAAACCCACCACAGAATGTTTGCAACTGATCTTTATAGGAATATTAAAAACCTAAAAAAAAGTCTTCTAACCTATATGATTATATTCAGTATAATTTAGTGTTGAATGCATTTTAATTTCAAAATTAATAAGCAAAGTGACATCTATATAGCAATATCCCTAGTTAGCTAATCAAGATCATAAGTTTTATATTTTTATTTAAAAAATCACCGACAACTCTTTCAGTACATGGAGATCAAAAATACTGAATAATTTTCAATTTTAAACATAGTTACTAATTTGGTATTCTAGCTAGTACCCAGAAAAATAAATATTGAAATGAATATAGAATTCTAAAGAATTATAGAATGGAAAAAATATATATAGAGAGAAAAAATCCCAAATACCAAACATGCATGAGAAAAATAGAGAACTTTCAAAAAAAAAACTTTAAAAATTGAGAGTGAAGAAAAAGACACCCATCTGTAAGAGTAGAGAAAAAATCCCAAATACCAAACATGCATGAGAAAAATAGGGAACTTTCAAAAAAAAAACTTTAAAAATTGAGAGTGAAGAAAAAGACACCCATCTGTAAGAGTCTGAAGAAAGAAAAATGTCATCACATCTTTAATTATTCAGAATAATCAAAAAGATATGAGAGTAGTTAGTGAAACAAATACATGTGAATCGAAAATTGAGAATTGATTTTTAAGCTTATTAGTTTTAAGCAAATAAAATGTGGCAACCTTTTCATGGAACAAATAGCCCAGTAGCTCTCGCTCTTTTACATCATAATTTATCTAAAACAAACAAAATAAAAGACAAAGAGAAAAAAGACTCAAGATCACTCAATTTGTTAAACTAGATGAATTACTGAAGTAAAAGTTACATGTTAAAATACATTTATGCATTAACAGTAATCAAAATTTCAAATATACTCTGCTTTTTGTCATCAACTAAAAGAAAATATTTCATAGAATTTTAAAGTTAGATTGTTTTAAGTTAAGTTAACATTCTGCACTGGGAAAACAAGATCCCAGAGAAATGAAGTAACTTTGCTTAATGTTAAAGAATAAATCACTAGTAGGGCAAATACTAGAAACCAGGCCTTCTAATTTTATACTTCATCTCTATATTCTGACTATAGAAATCTCTTATAATAATATAAATATCAGTATATTATATAGTAAGTATCAACCCCAAAACTAAAGTTTGCCTCTAGTTCCCTCCTTAAAATGGTCTTATTCGCTATTTAAAGTTTAGTTATATCACAGTGTGGTAAAAAAGAAACAAAAACAAAAATAGCACTCAGTAGTAATATAAGACAGATCTGAATTTTGAAGCTCTTAATTTGAGAGGGAAGTATGGAAAGGAAATTCCTTAGATTTACGAGTACTTTTCTAAGAGATTAATCTATCTTTCCCTATTCTGTCAAAACTAATGCATAAAATATTGCTTATTTCAAAATATTGGCTCAAATAGGCAAGACATTAAGTTTTGAAACTAAACTTAACATCCAAATGCAAGAAGTACAGGCATACCTCATCTTATTGCTCTTTGCTTTACTGCACTTCGTAAATTCTGCGTTTTTTACAAGTTGAAGGTTTGTGGCATGTCTGCTTCCAGCAAGTCTATCGGTGCCATTTTTCCAAAAGCAAGTGCTCACTCATGTCTCTGTGCCACATTTTGGCAATTCTTGCCACATATCAAACTTTTTCATTATTATTATATGTGTTATGGTGATCTATGATCAGTGATCTGTGATATCACTATTGTAATTGTTTTGGGGTGCCACAAACCTGTGCCCATAAAAGACAGCAAACTTAATCAATAAATGTTGTGTGTGTTCTGGCTGCTCCAACTGGCCATTCTCCCATCCCTCTCCCTCTCCTTGGGCATCCCTATTCCCTGAGATACAACAATTGAAATTAGGCGAACTAATAACCCTATAATGACCTCTAAGTGTTCAAGTAAAAGGAAGAGTCACATGTCTCTCACTTCAAATCAAAAGCTAGAGGGCTGGCCAGTTAGCTCAGTTGGTTAGAGCATGGTACTGATAATACCAAGGTCCAGGGTCCTGTACCAGCCGGCTGCCAACGACCACCACCATCACCACCAACACCAATTCAAAAGCTAGAAATGATTAAGTTTAGTGAGGAAGGTATGTCCAAAGCTGAGACAAGCCAAAAGCTAGGTCACTTTTGCTAAACAGTTAGTCAAGCTGTAAATGCAAAGGAAAAGTTCTTGAAGGAAATTAAGTGCTACTCCAGTGAATACATGAATGGTGAGAGAGTCAAACAGCCTTACTACTGATAGGAAGAAAGTTTTAGTGGTCTGGACAGAAGATAAAAACAGCCACAGCATTCCTTTAAGCCAAAGCCTAATCCAGAGCAAGGGTCTAACTCTCTACAATTCTATGAAAGCTAAGAGAGGTGAGGAAGCTGCAAAAGAAAAGTCTGAAGCTAGCAGAGGTTGGTTCATGAAATTTAAGGAAAGAAGGCGTCTCCATAACCTAAAAATACAAGGTAAAGCAGCAAGCGCTGATGTAGAAGCAGCAGCATTACCTAGAAGATCTAGCTAAGATCATTGATGATGGTGGCTACACTAAACAACAGATTCTCAGTATACACAAAACAGCCTTATATTGGAAGAAAATGCCATCTAGGACTTTCATTGCTAGAGAGGAGATGTCAATGCCTGATTTCAAGCTTCAAAGGGCAGGCTGACTTTCTTGTTAGGGGCTAATGCAGCTGGTGACTTTAAGTTGAAGCCAATGCTCATTTAGCATTCCCAAAATCCCAAGGCCCTTAAGAATCATGCTAAATCTACTCTGCCCGCACTCTATAAAAGAAACAACAAAGGCTGGATGACAGCACACTTATCACAGCATGATTTACTGATTATTATAACATAGCCCACTGTTGAGACCTATTGCTCAGAAAAAAAAATTCTTTCAAATTATCCCTGTTCATTGTCAATGCACCTGGTCACCCAGGAGCTCCAATGGAGATGTACAAGGCGATTAATGTTGTTCTAATGCCTGCTAACACAACATCCATTCTGCACCCATGGATCAAAGAGAAATTTTGACTTTCAAGTCTTATTATTTAAGAAGTGCATTTCATAAGGCTATAACTGGCATAGACAGTGATTCTTTTGATGCATCTGGGCTAAGTAAATTGAGAAACATCTGGAAAGAATTCACCATTCTAGATGCCATTAAGAACATTCACGATTCATGGAAAGAGATCAAAATATCAACATTAGCGGAAGTTTGGAAGAAGTTGATTCCAGCCCTGATGGATGATTTTGAGGGGTTCAAGACTTCAGTGGAGAAGGTAACCGCACATGTGGTAGAAACAGCAAGAGAACTAGAATTAGAAGTAGAGCCTGAAAATGTGACTGAATTGCTACAATCTCATGTTAAAACTTGAACAGATGAGGAGTTGCTTCTTGTGGAGGAGCAAAGAAAGTGGTTTCTTGAGATGGAATCTACTCCTGATGAAGATACTGTGAACAGGGGTGAAATGACAACAAAGGATTTAGAATATTACATAAACTTAGTTGATAAAGCAGGGGCAGGGTTTAAGGAGATTGAGTCCAATTCTTAAAGAAGTTCGTCTGTGGGTAAAATGCTAACAGACAGCATCACATGCTATGGAGAAATCTTTCATGAAAGAGTCAATCGATGTGGCAAACTTCATTGCTGTTTTATTTTAAGAAATTGTCTCAGCCAGCCCAACCTTCAGCAACCCCCAACATCAAGGCAAGACCCTCCACCAGCAAAAAGACTACAACTCACTGAAGACTCAGATGATCATTGACATTTTTTAGCAATAAAGTATTTTTAAGGGCCAGCCCGGTGGCGCACTGCTACAGTGCGCCACTTGGGAGTGCGGCGGCGCTCCCGCCGAGGGTTCGGATCCCACATACGGACCGGTTCCCGCTCACTGGCTGAGCGAGGTGCGGGCGCAACACCGAGGGTTGCGATCCCGTTGCCGGTCCCGATCCGGTACGGGTGCGACACTGAGGGTTTTGATCCGTTGCCGGACACGAAAAAAGACACACAAAAAAAAAAAGTATTTTTAAATTAACATATGTATAGTGTTTGATGAGAATGTCAATGCACACTTAATAAACTATAATATAAACATAACATACACTGGGAAACCAAAAAATTCGTGTGACTCACTTTACTGCAGTGGTCTGGATCCAAACCTGCAATATCTCTGAGGTATGCCTGTAATACTTCTTTAGTCAAAAGTGACACTTAGAGTAAACCATCATACACTATTTTAAAAACCTAACTATTAAGATACAAGGGAGAAATACTTCCAACATCAAGAAATATATTTTTTAGCTACACCAATACCTAGTTAAAATGTACAATTCTAAGAACATACATTTTCAGCCAAAGATGTCAAATATAGGAAAGCACTACTGCATTTCCATTTACCCAATTTTTCTAAAATAAAATAATAATAATAGTAATACATCCTTACAAATAAAGTTGGATTACCTTATCCAGAGCAAACTTAGTGTTTCCTACTGAAGATAATGACAGTGTGTAAGATCCAACGAGTGCAAAGTTGCTGGTACGCACAGCATTGAGACCTCCTGGACTGGCCATAACTACAAAAAAAAAGAAGAAATGAAGTTTAATTTAGAGTGACTTTGGTAAGTATAAATAACCATTCCTCATCCCATTCCAAAAGAATAAAATTAAATTGCCACAGAGAAAACTGCCTCATTGCCCTCCACTATTAAATATGAGGGAAAATAAAACATCAACATATTTCCTAATGAAAGAAACTATTAAAGTATTTGTATTTAAGGCACTCCTTAACATTTAGGAGAGTTGTGTTTTAAAAGAAACAGAACCCAAAAATGTGTACATAAAAAGCAATTTTCCCATAAGAAATATGGAAAAGACTTCATTGCTCTTTATAGTCCAGGGCGACATAGAGCAGCAGAGACTATCTCTGCACAGGCCTTCTTAGTGACCCTCTTGTGTCACAGAGAACAGACCAATAGCCCAAAGGAGGGGAGTGAAATAACCTCCATCCTTATCCCCTTTGGAAAATTTAGGCCAAAGCCATTCTAGAGAAAGGCTTTCCTGACTTATTGGCACCCCAGTTCCCAGTGAACTAGAAAGATGCTTTTCTGACATGATACAGTGCCAGTCATGATAAGTAGAGTTAAAAGAAGTAGACTCCACGGTGTGGATACCACAAAACAAATCTATAGATGTTGGGGTGAGGAGCAATGCTACCTGCTACAATTGTCAAGTGACTAGGTATCACATGTGTGCTATCTGCTAGAGCCTGAATAACATGATGCTATTTTGCATGCTATTCTAGCCAGTAATTTTACACTAGTATGTTACTAAAAAGCTCACTTAGAAAAAAATATATTATTCCAAAAGAGATCAAGCTAAACACTCAAAATCAAGGTGGCCTACATATATATAAGTATGCAATTCCTTAGTTCTTTTCCTTATTCTAAAGTTTCAAATAGTTCAGGATCCACCCACCTGAAGGAGGAAGGTTGCTTTTCTAAAAAAAAGGTATGAAGAAGAAACATAAGTTATTTCCTTTATTTGATACAAAGATTTAAATATTAAATACAAAACACTTTAATACTACAAGGACTACATTTCAGAAAATACTCTTTCTACATAAATATAAGGTATTTTTCCCTCCATTAGTATATTTTAAACATTTCCACAATGCTAAGGGTTTAGAAATGGCTAGCCAATTTACAATTGTATGTGTAAGATGAAGATTTCTCAAGGAAGCTCTATTTCTTAAAAATTCTACTTACTGTGGTTATAGATGTGAGGAGTCGCTTTGGAGTAATAGCCTAGAAGAAAAAAACAGCTTAGTATATTTCCAATTAAATATTATGATTCAGAGTTTAAAACTAGCCAACCTTGAGATATTCCCACATAGAAAATAATTCTTAAATACGAATACATTATACCTGAGTCTTTTATTAAGGCTTTCTGATACTGTCATTCCTTTTTTGTTAGAGCTAAAAAAAATTTACTTAATAATGACTTAGGAAAAGAACAAAGACTGGGAAGGCTAGAAACCAAGTTAGAGGTTCTATTCCTTATGCCTAGACAGTGACCACATAATTCTTAAGTACTGATTAGAGGACTTAGTGAGACAAGAGTTCAGAGGAAAACCCTGAGAAAAGTTTTAAGCAGTTATAAAAGTTAACTGTCAAGTTAAAAGCAGAGAAAATAGAATTATCTAGCCTGAATATATCAGAAGTTTATACTTAAGATCACGATCACTCACAATAAGTTTACTTTCAGTATTCATACCTATTTAATGCAGTAACTAGAAATGTGCGGCAAAACTGATCTAAAAGCTTCATAACCATTAAAAATTATACATAAATTAAAACTGGTATGATCTCTATTATTTCTGATTATAATATTTTTACTAAGGTTCTTTAATTCTGACCTTGGACTTGTATGTTTTTTTCTTCTTATCAGGGCCTGAGGGATCTTTCTTTTGTACCTATACACAAACCCAAAGCATAATTAGCTTAAAAATCTGATACTGTTAAGAAAAATATACTATTGGTTATTTTAGAAAGCTTTAACTGCTTACCAAACTGTAAACTTCAATATTTATTTCAAAGTCATTAGACACATCTTGCCTGGAAAAACAAAGCATTAAATAAAACCATAAGAAAAACCTCAAGTTATACCATTAAAAATGATGCCACAGGCTGACTGGTTAGTTAAGGCCTTGTAACACCTAGGGTTTTGATCCTCATACCAGCCAGCCACCCCCGCCCCCCCAAAAAACGATGCCATAAATACTGTTACAAGATTCTGACAGTAAAGGAATCCACTGTGTTTTTAACTAAAGACAATAAAGAACAATCTAGTTTTTCCTATAATACAAGTCAGAAATATTTTCCTCAGCATTTTACAACTCAAGATCTTCAATAATAAAAGTAGTAATTTTTTTTCAAACTGGATTTTGACTCTTGCTTCAAAATAAATCTGTGACACAAAATATAAATGTCTTTTCATTCGGACTGAATATTAAATACATTATGACATTTAATGCATATGTCAAAAAACTATGGTCCAAGTTTAATATATGTATCACTTCAAAATATTAAATACCTATAGTCGCATGGAAGAAATGTGCTACTTAACAGAAAGATCAGAAACATAAAAAAGTTAAACCAAAACATTAAAAACTGAGTTATTTATAGTCTATATAAAAAAGTGAATATAATGCATTTCAAAGATTGTAAATGCCACCTGCATGCTTAGACTGTATTAACTACTAAAAGAAAATGTTTCAACCATCAAAAGCCTAATTTACTTACAGAGTAAATGTAGTAGAGAATGTCAGAGCATCACCATTAAGAGAGTTTGAGGTACTTGCTAATGGTGTGGCTACCATATTTTCAGCTCCTGCTTTTAGTATAATTAAGTGATAGTGATTTGCTGCGTCTGCAAGAAGTAATCACATTACATAATTAGCACAAACAAAATCAGATGTAGCTAAAGTAATATTGCAATCAATTTATATAAAATTTATTTTTAAAATTACTAAAATCAACTTTCCAAACACAAAAAGCTAAGACCTAAGCAGACAGTCATAATCCTGGAAAAAGCATCATCAAGGTCTCTCCCTACTATGTAAGTTGAAATAACTTCACTCCACATTACTCAATTTCTGCTGAATTTGAATTTTACCTAACGATCCCTAATTCTTAGCTAATGGTGTATTATCTCAAAAGGGTAAATTATGGTTAACCATAAATTTCAAAACTGAGATTAAAATACCTTAATTCTATAAAAGTCACTCAGAGATAAAATCTAATAAAAACATGAACTATTTCTTTACTACTTGTCATTAATAACTGCATATCTCAAAGTACATACTAAATTACTAACAGATTTCTGCCCACATCCCACCAAAATCAGACAACAGCAAAAATTAGAACCTAAGCTACCCCATCACTACAAAAGTGCTCTAACTTTTCAAAATCTCCATTCTTTTCTTTCTCTGTACCTCGAAATCACTTCTTTCCTATGTCTAGCCCTCCATCCCTCAAAGAGAATGTTCGACACAATAAAAATTTTAAAACTTTAATTTTGAACTTCATGTTCAAAATTAATTTTAACTATCCTTACTTTCAGTTAGAGCCCTGCCCATTATTGTGTGGACTGGTAACACATATATAAAATTTTCCCTTAGTTATTTTTTATACACATATCTTGATAAAAGGAACTAAAGGCCCAACATACAAGTTTTGCACCTTGACTTATGCTTTACTTGTTCCTATCTTGTACGATCCCAATCTAGGTAAGGTTCATAATTTTACATATGATCTAGAAGTGATGAAATTAGAAATCACCATACCTGGTTTCTGAACCATACCGCAGACAAAATCTGCTTTTAGAGGCAAGCGGATTTCTGACAAAGTAACTGATCCTTTGGATGGGACAAATTCACTTTGAGATATAGGACCATCCTTCTTCTTCTTCTGAGGCCCTTCATTCTTCAATTTATTCAACTCATCAATCAAAAGTGTTCTCTTCTCAGCTATGTAAAATATGCAAGTTAATATTCCAAATATTAAAATTGCAACTGTTTTTAAAATGACAGCCAATTCAAGAAAGCACACTGATGTAGCAATTGTAAGTAAGACCAAAGACAAAATCAATAACTCTTTCTTTACACAAACAGGTGGTAGGTAGCTGAGTAAAATCTTAGATGTTCATGTATTTATCAAGTCCTTATAATTTAATACTTCAACTTCTGGTCAATTTTCTTGGGTGGTAATATCTTTTACTCCAATATGCTCCATCATCACTACACATACAACAAAATTCACAGGAGTTGTTTTAGCTACATATAGACAAGGAAAGACAGAAAGACAGAGAGAGAGGTGAGTGTGAGTGTGTGTGTGTGTGTGTGTGTGTGTGTGTATTCGTTCATTCTTAGGATACTCTTCACAGCTCCATTTCTTCAAATGCATTTCAGTTGCTTTTACCTTTCGTGCAAACTGCATTTTATTTTAAATGAAGAGTTTTCATAAACCTTGTAAGTACAAAAATAAAAAATAGATCAACTGAAACATGTAATCAGAAAAAGTCCCTTTCTACAAAATTAGAGATTTATGAATAGCAGTTTTCCCTGGTTGGAAATTTGTTGTTTTACTACATTGTACATACTTGCAATTAGAAGAAGTCTTTCTGCTTCAGCTTCTTCTAGAGACCCTTTGCCATGCTCTTCATCAACACAGCAGTTAAGAGCCTGGCTAGCTTGATAGATCACTGTCTGCTGCAAATTTATTTCATTATTGAGTTCCTAGTGAAACCAATGAGAGGGGGAAAAAAAAACCCACATTTTTTTATCAACACTGTCACTTTATGTAAACTTAATTCTAACTAATCTGATTGGACAATTTCCAAAAATTTCCAGAGAATAAAGTCAAAATGCTACAGTTTTACTGTTCAAGTTTCTAGACCATGCACCAAAATCATTTAAAAACACTCTTCCTTATAAAAAGACTTCTGTAAACTTCACATTTCATCATCATCCAATTAATAGTTATTCTTTTTTTTTTTTTTTCTTCCTTTTTGTCTTTTTTCGTGACCGGTAACGGGATCGCACCCCTCGGTGTTGCGCCCGTAACGGGATCGTAACCCTCGGTGTTGTGCCCGCACCGCGCTCAACCAGTGAGCGGACCGGTCTCTACATGGGATCCGAACCCTCGGCGGGAGCGCCACCGCACTCTCAAGCGCCGCACTCTACAGAGTGCGCCACCAGGCCGGCCCATATTCTTTAAGGATATTTATGACAAACATGTTTAAACAGAAATATTACTCTCAAGCGCCGCACTCTACAGAGTGCACCACCAGGCCGGCCCATATTCTTTAAGGATATTTATGACAAACATGTTTAAACAGAAATATTTCAGTAATATCAAAAAAGCTTCCAACTTTTCCAAAAAAGAGTACCTTTCTAAAATTAAACGGAATTCAAGAGTGATTTACTGAGCTTTCATGCATCAGATACCATTCTAGTCACTCAGGGTACAGAGATGAACAAGGCTGGGCCCTTGTCCTCAAAGAGCTCACAATCTAGTGCAAGAAACATTCCAAATCTCCTTTCCACAGATGTGCATACCTGCATTTTCTGTTTGATATTAACATGACAAGGAAAGGCATTCTTTTTTTCATCCAATTTTGAAGTAACATCTTCCTTCCGAACAATCACCTGCTTTATTGACGGACGTTCTATTTCTTTGAATCTTTGAGATCTATATGCATCAATGCTTCAAGAAATAAGTTTACACTCAATTAGAAATCCAGCAACACACTGAGCACTACCTTTTATTGAACGTATCAGAATTTGATATTGGTATTGAACATATGAGCAGAACATTTCCCAGAATGCAAATGCCATTTGACGAAAGAGGCTGATAAGATTTATTCTAAACTTTTATACAGATGAATTATTAATAAAATTATATTATAAATTATAACATAACTTATGTCAATCTAAACCACAACCCTTAGGGAGTGAACGTCTTCCAAAAATGTTCTTACCTATAAAGAAGATCACGATCTTCAGAACCAATGCTATCACCAGACTCAGCTCGAGGAACACGCGTTCTTTGGAATTTTCCTGGCTTTGGACTTTCATCACTTATGCTGGTGTCCTTCAATTCCAATCTAGGTGAGGAAACTAAACTCTGCAGGAATGCATATCAGATATTAGTAGATTTCACAGGAAATTAACATTGACTCTAAATGATAATTCATTTAATTCTGAGAAAATAAATGAAATCTTCTTCATTATTAGGAAATAAACATCCAGTAGGTTTACTGATCCATCATAAAAACAAAGCAAACTAAAATAAGTTCCTAAAAAGTAAATGCATAAATAAAAGTATAAAGACACCTGAAACTTACACTGATAATTCTTTCTAAAAATATTTCTAATTTATCGTGTTAGAGCGCAGTGTTATAACACCAAGGTTAGAGGTTTGGATTCCCATACCAATCACACATAAAAAAATAATAATAAAAATACAAATATTTCTAATTCATCAATTTCCACAGTTGCAGTTATTCAATTTAGGATAACAGCTAATAATACTAATTAGCTCTCAATAAATGTTAGTTATGTATCTGGTGCTAAATACTAATAACATATACTAACATCATTTAATGTTCACATCAACCCATGATGTAGCTACATTATTAACCTCATTCAACAGAAGAGGGAACTATGGCATATGAAGGTTAATAACCTGACTGATAAACAGTCAGTATATGGCAGAGCCAAAATTTGAGACCATATGCCTGACTTTTCGAGACATGTTACTGTTTGGATTTTATCTAATGTCAACAGAAAACCAATATAGAGTTTTAAAATCTCTTTTATGAGAACTGATATCAGGTTTGCAAAATCCCCCTGGCTACAGAGTGCCAAAGAACCATCTACCAACAAAAAAAAAAGGAGGAGAGATCTCAATACTACTTAGTTTATTTATGTCATGGGCCTGTCTACATTTAGTCTTTTCTCACCTCTGGACTTACCACACCAACTGTCTGTGCAAGTGGAGCAAGTAAAGACATTGAGGAGATATTCAGTGCATCTTCCTGTTCTTCATTGCTTTCTGCTTCCATTTGATCCATCTCCTCTTGGCTCTTTCCCAAATCTAGTTCAACTTCCTCTAAGACATTACTGAAGATGTCATTAATCACTTTTGAATTATTGATATCATCATCATTATCCACACTCATCTCAATTTCACGTACCACTTCTGAAAAATATTTCAATTTGGTGGATACTGTGATTTAGACCTTTAAGAATTAAGGGATAGCAGAGAAGATCCTACATTCATATGCTTACTAAATAAACAAGGGAAAGAAGTCCTACGAAAAAGTACCTCATAAACAAAAATAATAATAAAATAGCACTAACATATAAAACCAAGATAATTTTCAAAGTTTCAATAACATTTTCTAAGAACTGAAAGTTGGGTTTATCAAAAACTGATTCAACACTTTAAGAAAGAATATTAAATAAAAACTCAAATGGTAGGATAACAGTCAAAAGCTTCAGACTTTCAAAAAATGTTCCTTCAAAGGACTCTTCTTTCTATTGTTGAGAGCTACCCTTTCCTACCATGGTTAATAATAGGACAATATTAATGTCACTTAGGGCAGGATTCACAAATAAGCTTCAGGAGCTGTTAACCCTCTAACAGCATGCAGAGTGTGGGGGCAGCATGTTTCCTCTCCCTGTGACAGTCAGTGAGTCTTACTCAGATTTTCACAGGGACCTAATGGTAACTGTTAACAGTACTACATCTTTGTGGAATCTAGAGTATTTCCTGGCCAAAAAAAATAGTTTCATAAAACTACAAGACACTGTATATTTGCATATGTACTTCTGTCGATACAGTATTTCTTATGATATGTCCAGAGTTAATAAGAAATAAAGAATAAAAACCAACCAGTCTTCTCCTCAACCTTTGGATCTGACGTTATTTTTAAGGACTTATCCTCTTCTAAAAACAATGTTATTTTCAAAGGGCTAGACTTCATCACTTCGCACTCAGTGAAACCTAAAAATTTTTTAAGAAAGACTATATTAATATATGTGAACCTAGAATTTTTTAGTTAAGAAATCTTGTGTATCTTTTTTTCTGATTATAAAACAATGCATTTCTTTTAAAATATTCAAATCTAAAAATAGGCTGGCCGGTTAGCTCAGTTGGTGAGAGCACAAAAGTAAAAATACATAAAATTGAGAACCCCCCAAAACACCTGCCCCCTTTCTTTTTTTTGGTGGCTGGCCAGTAAAGGGATCTGAACCCTTGACCTTAGTGCTACAAGTATGAACACCTGTCCTTTCTTCTTTCCCATCTCTCTCTTCCTCCCCACCAAGAGAGAAAGGGGACACAGACGTAACCAGGTTATTGTTTTTCCAGTTGCCCCTATGTATGCATATATGTATATACTTTGCATTGGTTTATCAAAAGATGGTCATACTATATATATTGCTGTACAACTTGTTCTTCACTTTTTTAAAGTGTCAATAAAATCACTCAAAAACTAGGAATAGAAGGAAATTACTCCAATATAATAAAGGCCATATGTGAAAAGCCCTTAGCCAACATTATACTCCATGGTGAAAGACTGAAAGCTTTTCTTCTAAGGTCAGGAACAAGACAAGGATGCCTGCTGTCACTACTTCTATTTGACATAGCATTGGAAGCACTAGCCAGAGCAAGCAGGCAAGAAAAAGAAAGAAAAGGCATCCAAATTAGAAAGGAAGAAGTAAAATTATCTCTGTTCACAGATGCCATGATCTTATATGCAGAAAAATTAAAGATTTCACAAAAAAACTATTAGAACTAATAAATTCAGCAAAGTTGTAGGATATAAAATCAACACACAAAAATCAGTTGTTTCCACATACTAACAATGAATAATCTGAAAAGGAAATTACAAAAACAATTCCATTCACAATAACACCAAAAAGAATAAAATACTTACAAATAAACCTAACCAAGGAGGTGAAAGACTTGTATCCTGAATATTAGAAAGCATTGTTAAAAGAAATTAAAGAGGACACAGATTGAAAGACATTGCATGTTCATGTATTTAGGAGACTTAATATTGTTAAGATGTCAATATTACCCAAGTGATCTACAAATTCAATATAAACCTTATCAAAATCCCAATGGCATTCCTTTTTTCTTTTACAGAAATAGAAAAATCCATCCTAAATTTCAAATGGAATCTCAAGGAACCCCAAATATCCAACACAATTTTGAAAAAGAACAACAAAGTTGGAAGACTCACACTTCCTGACTTCAAAACATTACAAAGCTATAGTCATCAAAACATTGCAGTACTGGCATAATGATAATGGAATAATGAGCCTAGAAATAAACCTTCACACATATGATCAAATGAGCTTTAACAAGTGCACCAAGATGATTCAGTGGGAAAAGGACAGCCTCTTTAACAAATGGTGCTGGAAAAACAGGATATACACATAAAAAACAGTACACATGAAAACAGTACACATGAAAAAAAAAGTTGGACCCTTATATTATATATAAAGATTAACTTAAAATAGATTAAAGACCTAAATGTAAGACCTAAAACTACAAAATTCCTATAAGAAAACATGGGGGAAAAGCTTCATAACATTGGATTTCACAATACTTCCTTGCATATGACAACAAAAAGACAGGCAACAAAAGAAAAAATAGACAAATGGGACTATATAATAATTAAAAACTTTTGGATATCAAAGGACACAATCAGAGTAAAAATGCAAACTATGGAATAGAAGAAAATATTTGCAAATCATATATCTGATAAGGGGTTAATACCCAGGATATATAAAGAACTCCTACAAATCAACAACAAAAAATCAAATAACCTGATTAAAAAAATGGGTAAAGGACTTGAGTAGACATTTCTCCAAAGATGACACAGAAATGGCCAAAAAGCGTAAGAAAAAATGCTCAACATCAAGCCATCCCATGGCTCACTTGGGAGAGTGCGGTGCTGATAACACTAAGGCCACGGGTTCGGATGCCATATAGGGATGACCGGTTAGCTCACTGGATGAGCGTGGTGCTGACAACCCCAAGTCAAGGGGTTAAAATCCCCTTTCCGGTCATCTTTAAAAAAAAAAAAAGAAAGGGGCCGGCCCGGTGG